CCTGCACGGGATCGAGCCCACAACCCGGGCAGGTGCCCCGACCGGGAATCGAGCTGTAGCCTGCTGGTTCACAGGTGATGACACTGAGCCACACTGGCCACACCGGCCGGGTGTAACAGGCTTCATTTTAGAGGGTAGGTGTGGGGGTGGGCCCGTGGCCCTTGTGTGGAAATTTCCTCCGCTGCCGTCTTGTTGGCTGGCTGTCTCTGTTGGAAAGTGCGATAAGCTGTTAACTTTTTATTCTGGCGTGAAGTGGGACCTGCCTTTTTCTTTTCCTGGATACACAGTTGTCCGCCATTTTTTATATCTCTTCTTTCCCAGTGAGCAGTGTCCCTTCTGCGACAGCTGGTGTCCTTCTGGGATGTACACGGATCTGCTCCTGAGCTTGCTTTTATGTCACATGACCTGGTCTTGTCCCGAGCCAATCCTATCTAATGAAACCCTAATATGCAAATTGACCAAACAGAAGAGCGACCAATCGCTGTGACACATACTGGCCACCAGGGGGCAGACGCTCAATGCAGGAGCTGCTACCTGCTGGTCAGTGCGCTCCCACAGGGGGAGCGCCGCTCAGAAGCCGGGCTGGTGGCTGGCGAGCGCAGTGGAGGTGATGGGAGCCTCTCCCACCTCCTCAGCAGCACTGAGGACTCCTTGGGGGTCCCGGACTGAGGGTCCCCCCCGCCCGCCCCAGTTCACGAATGTCGTGCACCAGGCCTCTAGTATCACATACTTTATTTAAAAAAAAAAATTTTTTTTAATTTTAGAGCGGAAGAGGGAAAGGGAGAGGCAAAGAGAGAAACATGGATTTGTTCCACTTTTTTATGCATTCACTGGGTGCTTCTTGTATGTGCCCTGACGAGGGATTGAACCCCAACCTTGGCGTATTGGGACAATGCTTTAACCCAAGCCAGTATCACACTCTTCTTTTCTTAACCCTCACCCAAGGTTATGTTCTTTATTGATTTTTTTAAAATATATTTTATTGATTTTTTACAGAGAGGAAGGGAGAGAGATAGTCAGAAACATTGATGAGAGAGAAACATCCCCCACTGGGGATGTGCCTGCAACCCAGGTACATGCCCTTGACCAGAATCGAACCCGGGACCCTTCGGTCCGCAGGCCGACGCTCTATCCACTGAGCCAAACCGGTTTTGGCTTCTTTATTGATTTTTAGAGAGAAGGGAAGAGAGAGGGAAAAGCAAACATTGACCAGTTGCCCCCTGTACACGTCCCAACTGGGAATTGACTGGGAATCAAATCTGCAACCTAGCCCTAACTGGTTTGGCTCAGTGGATAGAGCGTCAGCCTGCAGCCTGAAGAGTGCCAGGTTCGATTCCAGTCAAGGGCATGTACCTTGGTTGCGGGCACATCCCCAGTGGGGAGTGTGCAGGAGGCAGCTGATCGATGTTTCTCTCTCACTGATGTTTCTAACTCTCTATCCCTCTCCCTTCCTCTCTGTAAAAAATCAATAAAATATATTATAAAAAGATAAAACTAAAAATAACCTGCAACCTAGGTATGTGCCCTGACCAGGAACTGAATCCACACCTTTTAGTGGACGAGACGAGACGACATTGCAGCTGCCTGAGCCGCCCGGCCAGGGCCGGGACCACACTCCTGATGACTCTGGGGGACAGTGACAGGCTTGGCTCTCTGGCCGCCTCCGGTAGAGAACATGCTCCCATCCATCTTGCTCCTCACCAGTTTGGGCCTTTTGATATGACGGGGTGCAGGACAAATAATATAATAATCAATAAATGACATAAGAATAAACTGAGCCCTGGCCGGTGTGGCTCAGTGGATGGAGCGTCGGCCTGCGGACTGAAGGGTCCCAGGTTCGATTCCGGTCAAGGGCATGTACCTTGGTTGTGGGCACATCCCCAGTCGGGGGCGTGCAGGAGGCGGCTGATCGATGTTTCTCTCCCATCGATGTTTCTGGCTCTCTATCCCTCTCCCTTCCTCTCTGTAAAAAATCAATAAGAAATATTTTTTTTAAATAAACTTTTGTGTACTCACAACTGTAACTTACTTTTGCCCCACCCTGTATATCTTTTTCTCTGCTTTTACTACTTTAACTTTTTTTTATTGGGTGATGGGGGATGGGGGGGAGAAAGAGAGAGAAACATGGATTTGTTCCACTCAGCCGTTCATTGGTTACATCTTGTATGTGCCTTGACCGGGGATCGAACCTGCAACCTTGGCTGTCGGTACGCCGCGCTGACCAACTGAGCTACCTGGCCGGAGCGACTACTCTAACTTCTTTATTGTGAGTCACGTAGATACAAGAAATGCAGAAAACAGTGCATACTGTTGGCCAAGAACTACAAACCATGCATCTGTGTTGCCAGCGCCCTTTTCGCGTCCTTATGTCTAAGGTGTGTCTCTTGCATGATGAGGAGCTCGAGGTGAGTCTTGTGTTCTGCTCGGTCTGAACCCGGACCACCTGACCCCGGTGCGCGTGCGTCCCCTGCGGGCACTGAGGGACCCGCTGGACTCCTGCTCCCTCCTCTGCTTCCTGCTCCTTCTGCGAGTCTCTTCCTCCCCGTTCCTGCCTCCCTTGAGGATCACCTGTCATCGTTACGGGCATTCCCTTCACAGGTTTGGAAGTTTATACACTTTTGTTCTTAGAGACGTTTCATCAGAAATTACATTTCTCCTTAATTTACTAGAATCTGAAGTATTTTGGGGGCAGTACAAGGGCTCGAACGTTTTCCTTTGACTTTTCACCCTGACTGTTGTCATGTGTCCTAACCCTGTCTTTTTAAAGCTCCGCAAGTCATTGTTCTGCTTACCCACAGATTTACCATTTTCTTTTTCTTTTTCTTGGCGGGGGTAGGGGTGGGGGGGGCTTAACAGAAGTTGATCTCTTATCCCCCCCTCCACTCCCCCACCTCCCCACCTTCCTCTGAGGTTTGACGGTCTGTTTACTGGGCACTCCTTCTTTCAGAGTTGTTTTTCTTCTGTCTGAAGCACGTCCTTGAACTTTTTTAGTGATGTTTTGCTGAGGTCAAGCTTTTTTATTTTTTTTTAAATATATTTTATTGATTTTTCACAGAGAGGAAGGGAGAGAGAAAGAGAGCAAGAAACATCG